GCAATTTCGGTCCTACCATGAAAAGTTCACATTCCGAGCTGACTGCAATGATCTATATTTGTTCATCCGTCATATCATGCAGCAATTTTTAAGCTACCTTTCTCACACAAATTTAACTGACAAGCACCCAGCACCCTAATTTAAGGAACATCTGCAAAAACACTCCTGGGGGCCTTTAGGTATTAACTTAATGAAAGAAACTTGGAGGCATTCTTTGCAAGAATTTTGAGCAATCCAAAAATTAAAGTGAGAACAAGTCAAAGCTATATAAAATGACCATATTACCTCCATCTGGCTTTTGGAAGCATGGAGCCTGCCCCAGATGTAAATTGATCTAACCTTTAGGCGGAAAGGTAACACCAAACACCGCCGACGCCTGCTGCCTGCACAGATCACGCGCCTAGCAAGGCTAAATTACGTAAGCATTTCTGTGCTGCTAGCCACTCAAGGCCCTCAATAATACGAGTAGTTTAAGCAGCATGGTGTCAACTTCACCTTCTTTCTCTTTTCCTTTACCATCTTGGACTTGGACCGTCTCGAGCAATAGCTAAAAAGCCGTGGAAAAGCGGCAACACCAAACAAAGCTGAAATGGCCATGAACGGAACTGCGTGCGCCAGGCATTTTTTTGTTTTTTGTTTAGACAGCTGACGGCCGATAATTCGGACGAAATCCCTTCCTGAACGGATGATCCTCTCACGGGAAGGGATTTCTTCCGGCGCACGATTCGAATCAGCGGAACGGCGCGTGAGTTGTGTACATGGGCCGGATAGTTCGGATCGAGGACGGGTCCCGGCTCAATTCGAATCACAGCTGCCCATGACATGCCGTTGACATGCCGATTGTGCAGTCTGTCGCACCACCGTCACCGTTCACCAATGACACGCAATTCACAGGCCATGCTGGAGCGGCTGGCAGCCTGGCAGCGGCCACTGCAGCGTGCTGACTGGAGCGGCAGAGGCGGCCCGGGTCATTGGGGTCGATCTGCAGCACCGCTCCATCAGCGTGAGAGATTGCTCGCCGCTGTGCGGTTGGGAGTAATGTTCATGTATGGCGCTTGTCCCGTGATATATGTGTCGGTACCGTCCGTGTCCTGTCTTAGCCCAGCTGCTGTCATTGCTGCTGTCATTGGTGTTGACAAAATACTCGTCCTCATTCCCCAAAGAGGCATCTTTTGCAGTTACTATTTGACGAAGGTGAAATCGGTGATGACTTGCATAGTTTTTTTCTCACATTTTGTCATCAAATGACCATTCGAATGGCACCGCAGCCTTGGTTATACTAGATATACACTAGTCACTGTCGAGTTAAATGTGAGTTGACTGCCATCTGGGCTGCCTTGCATGAGCGGCGCTCTCACACCGAAAACGCCTGCTTATTCCACTTTTCTACGACTTCTTACGAGCCCGATGCATTGCTATACCGAAAACTTGTGGCATTGCCAGGAGACCTCACCCAGTGCTCCGTGTATCCGTTCTCACGAAAAATAAGGGAAACAGGGCGCGTCTACGCTGGCACGGCTAGTTATCAGAAGATACGCACACCGCTCTCTCCGCTTGTGACGTGGGGATCACGTTCGTAGTAGCCGTGTGGTTTGCGGAATTCCAAGGCAGTCTAGTTGAGGTGGCCATGAGCTTTTTGTATTTAGCCAGAACCTTTTGGCTGAATGTATGTCTAGGGTGAGCTAACACGCTAAGTAGTGTTTGTTGAGCCCTACCCCGACCGTATCTTTACGGGTTAAAGCAGAGCTTTGCGGCGAAAGCTTGACATGCCGCAATGCTCGGCACGGTCTATCCTGCCGCCTGACATTACCTGACGATTAGCGCAGCCACCGGCCGCAGGCTGCTGCAGTCGGGGACAAAGATCAAACGTCTTGTATTGCGTTACTGGTGCGCGCGCCTCTGCGGCCGACCGCCGGAGGCGGCGGGCGAGCTGCTGCCGCGGTCAGCGGTCACCGGGACGCCTGTCTACTGATACCGGTGAGAGCGCGTGTATATCACACTGGTGGCAGCGAGTGGTTGAGCGGCGAGAGGACCAACCACGATCCCGCGATGTACGATTTTGACAGTTTTCCGTATTTTAATTGGGGCGCCGACGGCTCGTGCACTAGATCCGGCACGAAAACAGAAGGCTGAAGATTTTACTTACCCTGCCATATGTGAACTCGGCTGGCCTGAATCAGGGCAGACACTAGCGCATTTGCTCTGTTCCATCTCGCATTATGCCAGCGAGGCCAGCTGGGAGCAGATGGCTATTTCCGCCTGATTTTGATGCCCGGGACGCCATTCTGAGGTGTTGTGTCGTCGAAACTTAGCAGCGCGATGCTTCTGTCACAGTCATTTACGGTGGACAGACACAGACTGGCTCTGTTTCTCTGCCTCCAAATAAAGAAGGCCGATGTTTGATGCGTAATGTGCCACATCCCTCGCTTGACGTAAGACGGAGATGTCGCGGAATGCGATACTCGAGAACAAGACTTTTCCCCACCATAATTAATTGGATTTTCTTATATGGAGGTCTAGCCTAGCAGCCCGCGTAATAAATGCAAAAACATGGCTGCAGCCGGATGCCAGCAGGTGTTGATAAACAAAAACGACCTCCAATGGCTCGTTAGTAAACAATGACAGATCAAGGCGTTCACCGACAGGCATGGTTGCATGGCTGTCTTGGTCTTTGCCTGGGGGCGATGTTTTGCATTTCTAAAATCCAGACTAGTTGCGCTCCCCTCCAAAGCATTTCAAGATGGCTTAATTGTTAGGAGTGTTGGCTCTTTAAGAGACATGAAATATTTGTGTGATGTCTCATTGATTGCACACCTTCGGCCAATACAACACTATTTTTCTCTGCCGAACTCTTCCTTGATAAACAAGCTGCCGTAGATCAGCTCGTGAGACAAGGACTATATTCTTTATTTTTTATTTTATGCGTCAGTACAAACTGCAGACACACCACTGTCCTATCATTAGCCACTCTTGGCGTTGAATTGAGAACATTTTGGCAGTTGTACTTCCTCTATCGTTCTCCACTAACCGTTAATGTATGACTTCCCATTTGTGCCTCACTACTTTCACGAAAATGCATCGAGCTGCAAAGAAGCGCAGCGCCAGGATAGTGATGTAGAACGATTTGGATCACTTTTGCAATAAAGAAAGGAGCTGAAGTTGCAGCCCCTAGTCTGCGCAGACACTTCTGGCGAAACGAGCCGCACCTTGATGCCTTATCACGTCTATCAGCTGCGTCACTTTGCGTCCCAACAGCTGTGATGTGTGTGGTTCTGTGGCGGCACACTGGTCATCACACCATCGTATTAATAGGTGATTTTTTCCATTGTCTGGCGGGTCGTGTCGATTGTTCGCTGGGAGTTTGACGGTTTGTGCTGAAGGCCGTCGCGCGCCACCATTCTGCTTGTAGTGTCCCCGTCTTAGAGGTCAGAGAGGCACACTCTGGACCATGTCTCACACGTCCCCCGGGCTCCGGCCACCCGGTCTCCCGTCTGTGAGGTTAGAGCGCCTCTGCCCGCTTCTTCGGGCTCCCGTCCCCGGGCTCCCGTCCCGTATTCTGCTCCCCCGGGCTCCCGTCCCCGGGCTCCGCTCCCCCGGGCTCCCGTCGGCGCGCCCCGCCATCGCCCTAGCAGCCTCACACGCCTCACCGGGCGGGCCGGCGCCGCCGCGGCCTGGCCCAGCCCGCCCCGCCACGTCCACCTATTGGTCGGATAATGAACAAATGGCCGGGCCTGCGCGGCGGCGGTGCGATACGCCAGCGATAGCTCCGCCTCGTCATTAACCGCCGCCCGGCCTGTTTATTCGCCGCCGCCGGCTGCCGTGTAACGGTGCGACGGCGCTGGCAGTCGGCGCACCGCTCCCGGGGCCCGGCTGATAGGTAGCTGCCGTCAGCCGCCGCGCCGCGGAGGGTCAGAGGAGCGAGGCGAGGAGACCTGCCGGCTGGCGGCGGCGCCGGGACGAAGTGGCATGGACGATCAATTCGCAAACTGCCCATGTTGATTGCGTTTGTCCATTAGGTTAATTGCTGGCTATGGCCTATGTGGTGTGTCCACACACAATGCTTGCTTTGGAGATGCCCCGACGTCACCTTTCGTCAAGTTGTTGAAGAAAGTGAAACCAAATTGGATGAGTACACTACTACTACGTGGCAGTAGTTGCTGCAATTTCTTTGTCACTATCGACAAGCATTTGTATTTTGACATAGACCATAGCGCAATGCAATCTTTCCCTGTCGCTGCACATCAAAATAGCGTAGCTAAGTTCGCATACAATGTTCTGCGAAACGTTGAAACGATGCCGAGCTTTCAACTATTGATGCAGTTCATACGCGGACTTATGCAAAACTGGTGCAGCTAACTTGCGAATGGTTGTTACGGGCTTTGTGTGCAACCACCTCAAAACATAAAACTTGTGTGTGGTGTGTGTTTGCGAGTGTCGGCTGGGAGTCCGGCACGCGTCCGGACGAACCTCGACTAGGTAGCCAGCAGGAGTCCGGACGGGTATCGGCCGTAAGCCCGACAAGAGTCCAGACGGACCTCGGCTGAGTGGTCCGCAGTCCAGGCGAGGCTCGGCTGGGTGGAAGGCAGGAGTCAGACGGACCTCGGCTGAGTGGTCCGCAGTCCAGGCGAGGCTCGGCTGGATGGACGGCAGGAGTCAGACAGACCTCGGCTGGGTGGTCTGCAGTCCAGGCGAGGCTCGGCTGGGCGGACGGCAGGAGTTACCCTGTTTACATGGGCAGCTGTGATTCGAATTGAGCCGGGACCCGTCCTCGATCCGAACTATCCGGCCCATGTACACAACTCACGCGCCGTTCCGCTGATTCGAATCGTGCGCCGGAAGAAATCCCTTCCCGTGAGAGGATCATCCGTTCAGGAAGGGATTTCGTCCGAATTATCGGCCGTCAGCTGTCTAAACAAAAAACAAAAAAATGCCTGGCGCACGCAGTTCCGTTCATGGCCATTTCAGCTTTGTTTGGTGTTGCCGCTTTTCCACGGCTTTTTAGCTATTGCTCGAGACGGTCCAAGTCCAAGATGGTAAAGGAAAAGAGAAAGAAGGTGAAGTTGACACCATGCTGCTTAAACTACTCGTATTATTGAGGGCCTTGAGTGGCTAGCAGCACAGAAATGCTTACGTAATTTAGCCTTGCTAGGCGCGTGATCTGTGCAGGCAGCAGGCGTCGGCGGTGTTTGGTGTTACCTTTCCGCCTAAAGGTTAGATCAATTTACATCTGGGGCAGGCTCCATGCTTCCAAAAGCCAGATGGAGGTAATATGGTCATTTTATATAGCTTTGACTTGTTCTCACTTTAATTTTTGGATTGCTCAAAATTCTTGCAAAGAATGCCTCCAAGTTTCTTTCATTAAGTTAATACCTAAAGGCCCCCAGGAGTGTTTTTGCAGATGTTCCTTAAATTAGGGTGCTGGGTGCTTGTCAGTTAAATTTGTGTGAGAAAGGTAGCTTAAAAATTGCTGCATGATATGACGGATGAACAAATATAGATCATTGCAGTCAGCTCGGAATGTGAACTTTTCATGGTAGGACCGAAATTGCCCAATGACGGGGTCAGAACAGCAAAAAAGCAAATGTGAACACTGGATGAAAATAGTTGTCATCATTACTCTGCTAAATCCAAGTTTGTGTGTTCCATGTGCAGGAAAACAGTGCATAAACTAACACCTAACACGATGGCACATGCTGCATGGAGAACACGTCTGTGTTGCCTATCATCACCTGTTTTTGTACTGGTGATTAAATATGTCACCTTGGTGCTTTTTTGTGATGGGTGTCTTTGCAGGCCATGAGGAAGGTACTTCAACTGTTCAACAATTCTTGCAGGGAGTACCAACAGTTTCTTTCATTAAGTGAATACATAAATGCCCCAGGATTGATTTTGCAGACATCCCTCCTGTGACTTGAACATTTGGTTGACCACCTATTGGCAGGAGGGATGTGCTGGACATTGGTGACTGGCTCGCCAAGGAAATATAAAGTTACATCACACTGGTAGACCAAATGGCAAGGAAGCGGGACTGGAATATTTGTTTTTGATGCGATTAGGCTGTTTGTTGCTTGTCGGTTTAATGTGTGCGAGATGGGTAACTCAATAATTCCTGCATGATGCAAAGGATTAACAAATACAGGCAATAGATCATTGCAGTCAGTGCAGAATATGAACTATTTTTAATGATGGGACCAAAATTGCCCAGTGATGGTTCCAGAATGTCAAGAAAGCAAATGTGAGCACTGGATGGAAATAGCTGTCATCAGTACTCTGTCAAATCCAGGTTTGTGCATTTCATGTGGAAGAAAACAGTGCATAAACTAAGTAAACCCAACATAATGCCACATGATAAGCAGAGAACATCTGTGGTGCACATCATTACCTGTTTTTGTACTGGTGAGTAAATATGTTACCTTGGTGCTTTTTTGTGACATGTATCTTTGCAAACCATGAGCTGGGTAATTGAGCTGTTGTTATAATTAATCATTTGTTATGAATTTTGAGCCCAGATTGCTTTTGTCATGACAGCTCTGGGGCTGGTTCACATGTTATGATCTTTGGACTGTGCAAACACAGCTGTTTGTGCCACCTAGTCATCAGTCCATATCAGCCAATGCTGTTGACTGCAAGGATATCAAAGCAGTATTTCAACCCTATTATGTCAAGAAGGCAAATAGCTGCATTCTGACGTGCCAGTCCATGCCAAGTCTAAATGGCAATGCTGCCCTCAGGTACTGATGATGCATTGGATGGAGAAAGACAACATAGTTACACAATTTTTGCCACTAACTATGTAGCATTCATGAGTCATTTCTGCAGCTTAGCTCACTGTTGCAGGCTGCTCATAAATGCATTAGTGTGGGAGTAGGTAATGTGTTTCTTGGGCTGCGCAAAGTAGATGACATGATGCTGGGTGGCATACTGATATGAGTGTGGGAAGTTTGTGAGTGTCATTGGCCAATACAAGAAAATACTGATTTCCTGCTAGCCAAAGTTTCCTGCTAGTAAAAATTTGTATATAACACTGCTTATGTGACAGATTTGGCAGTGCTGACTGCGCAACTCTTGTGTTTCAAGTGTTATGGCTTGTGCTGTAGCTATAAAGCCTATGAGTCCCGCACATATCATTTTTCCAACGGAGTCCATCTTCCTCCTCGCCCTCAAAGCTGTCTCGCGCCCACCATGGCTCGTGACATTCGCCATCCATATGCAGAGTACCTGCTTTTTTCTTCTTGTTTTGTGCAGTTCGCCTCAAAAGCGCAGTTTTCGCCCATAATCCGTTCCTTGATTCGAACTAGGCGGGATCGAACTATCGACCGTTAATCCGACGTAAAGCCGGTTTCGCCCATGAAAACGCCCCTCGCCGAGAGGGTTAACGTCGCATGATCCGTTCCGATCTTAATTCGAATTATCCTCGGCTGCCCATGTAAACCGGGTAACTAATGCAGCTTATCCTTGTAACTGTTGCACTACTAATTGCGCTAGGAGCGCGCTAAAGAGGCAGCTGCGGGTCCACTGCCAATTGACACATCGGCCCGCTGGTGAGCACGCGCCGTGGAGAGCTCCGCTCAGTCGCATGAAGAACACCTTGGTGGATGATTGGGTGGTACGCCGGGGTAGAGGCATTCTAGTTTCCCGATCATTAGACGGGACGGCCCGGGACCGGTCGATCTCCTGCAATGGTCTGTTTGAGCAGTTGAGGGCCTCCTCGGTGCAGGAGTCCCGGCCACCGAACAATGGAGGCCCGGCCGGCGACCTCCAAGAATCAACAGACCCGTGTCAGTCGGAGAGTGCACCGCCAATAAGAGTGTTCTTGATACAGGTGCTCCAATCTGGGGAGACTCGTATGCCGGTCGCATTGATTGGCGATGCCTGTTAATCAGACACTTATGGCTAGTTTTAGTTGCGCTCTGGAGTTTGTTGACATGCTCGCGACATATCTCGAACGTTGCGGGTTGACAATGAGGCAGGCAGTCTGATTCGGAAACGAAAAAAGTGCAGAAATCGATGGCCATCACTGACAAATGGCATTTGAGACGGTAGTGTCGCAGTTTCCCACACCGTTGTCTTCGTAATTGGTGATGCGATATGATTGGACGTTTAATGTCTATATAGGTTGCGAAGGGTATTGATTTGATTGCGCAGTATTTGTTCCGTTTTAGACGACTCGGTACTGTTGGCAACTAATGTCACCTGGTGATGAGAATCCGTATTATTGTGATAAATTCCGGATGAATCCCAGGCAGCATTGGACTGCTGAATGTGACATTAAGTGAGACAGTGATATGGTGCATCAAAGCGTTTTTTTTTTCTGCGCCATTTTGGCACGTTACCCCAGCAGCCTCCGGAACGGATCTTCAGGCGAATGCGTGTCTTGGCTTTGTGCAGGTAATGTCAACCTCACATCGGAGCCGAGATCGTCGCCGAAGCCGTTGTAGCGGATTTCTCGGTTTTGTGCCGCGGGCAGTGATCGTTGTTGACGCCCTCGAGCGGACGGCTTCAGGCGGCGAGTCCTGTCGGCTGAACAATCTTATCGCAGCGACAAATCAGAGCGATTTATCTGAGCGCCGGCGGCAGCCGTATCTTGCGAGGCAAACAACCCGCTGCTGTTAATGCGCAGAGATCATGAAAATGAGAGGCACTGCGTCTGAATGACAGCTTCGCACGCCGGCGGCCTTGTCTGTCCGTTATTTTCTGTTAACAGGTTACCAGCTGTGTTTAAGCCCCACCGATCAAATACGAACAGTTAACTCCATAAAGACCTGCGAAGCCCGCGTTCACCACGTTTCTTGCTCGGGAAATGTGCCTGCATTAGCATTTAGCAGTGCGTTCGTAAGCAGCTCCCCGCTTGCGTTAAGTACGCTGCGGCTGCCACCGCCCAGCCGTCTTCGCTCTGGTCCCTTCCCTTCTGCTGATTTATGGCACTTTGCGACTGTTTTATGTCGAGCTGGGAGCGCGTGACCCGGATGTTTGATCCGAGCAGCCATGTCAGGCATGTCCTCATCACATGCCACGGGCACGGAATTGACGGTACGTTGTAGGTCGTTGGCTGGTACTGAACGCTCTTGTACCCCCTCCCCTCCCTCCTTGCCTTTCTTCAGCAGCTACAACACACTGCTGTTGCAGCCTCATCCCCTCCCGCCCTATCCTCACATCCGGGGCCTCCTGTATGTTGGCGTGCTCCGCGTGTTTGGCTGTGGTGCTTTAGCGACCTTCGCTGGTTTCTGGAGGTGAGGCGCTGGTGCTCGGCGCTAGCCGGTGCTGCGTGCTAAACCAGTGTTTTGTGCGAATGTGGCGTGGGTTCCAGGTGATAATCTTTGGTGCAAAGCATTGTCATGGGCTGTGTTGTTAAGCCACAGTAATGGTGCCCTGCACCGGCCTGTGGTGCTGTGCACTGACATGATACTTGCTCCGGATCGACGGTGGTGTTCCTTGGTGAATTCGGCACGCTCCCATGAAATGGCGACGGTGCTCTTTACTGATCTGTGGTGACATCCAAACGCATTAGCAATTTTCTGTGCTGACCCGTTGGGTGTTCCGCAGATGTGGCGGTGGCACACTACGACGCGGTGTGACGCTGTGCTGACCTCTGGTGTGCTCGGCAGATGCGGCGGTGCACTGTGCTGGTGCACCTGTGCCTGCTGCACGACTTCAGCGACGCGCTGCAGTCGTTTGTGCGCAAGCCCTCCGACCAGTACGTCAGGGAGGGCCAGACGGTGGTGCTCCCGTGCCAGGTCAGTGTCCGCCACCGATGGTGCTCCACACTGCCACCGGCGGTGCTTCACATCGCTACCGCTTGGTCAGAGGTGCCCCTCTGCTAGTGGTGCTCAGAAGTGCTCCTCTACATTTTTACCGTTGGTTGGTACGCATTTGTCAGTGGGTGTTGTGTTCCATACCGTTATCACCTGTCCAGAGAAAGAGGTCGTTGGTGCTTCAGTGTCACGTCAGTGCTGGCGGGTCTTTCAGCTCTATGGCATGGCCGAGCCAGGTCTGGCCAAACCTTCCCGGGCAAACAGCTGACGGACCAGCGCTTTGGAGGCTACCCGGCCTGGATGAAGCTGCCAACGCTTAGGGTGGTAGGTGACACATTCTGTGACAGGCTTGGCAACAAGGCAATAGAGCGAGAGGCGGGGGTTTTAAGACATTTACACGCAGATGTCGATATTCCGTCGGTTGAGCGATCGTACTTTCAGGAGCTTTTACGAGGTTTTTATTGTGGATATATATCTCTTGGCCTGTGGTAAATCTGAACTGCCGGCCCATTGTACGCTAGGCTTCATGACTGTGAGAAAGCTTATCATGCTTCTTTCGCAATAATTTTAAAGGACAAAAAGCACGGCGCCAAATGAACAACAAAAGTCACGTATACATCCGTATTAAAGAATGCAGCATTCTTCTCCATTCAAATTTACCAGTTATCTGCCAATGTGTTACTTATCACCGGCCCTTGAGCGATGTAAGGTCTGCACAAGATTCATAAGCATCTTTATGCTAACGTCGCGTTATAGCCCTACGAAGCTTGAGAATTCCATTAAGCTTGCCATGCGTTGGGAGGCACAAATCCCACGGCCTCAATACTGCTTGTACACATGCAATCTAAACTATACTGTAATGTGAGGTGGGAGCTCCTTGTGCTGCCGAGGAATGACCCCACTTCCGATGACAACTCTCCGCCAGATCGGATGATCCGATAGAGGCTCTTGACTGACGTGCTGACGTCATCATATCCGTTCACACTAGCCGGACTTTGCGCCGTGCCGCGCGCTCCCCCTCTGGCCTTGTGTTCCCCATCACCTGGGGAAGCTTGCCAGGCCGGGGGTCGTCCTAGCTTGCGCGGTAACATCACTGGCGTAAACGCGTCAACTAGTGGTTCATCATGCCGTCACCCTGGAGACTGCAATATTCTGCATAATAGCGCTAATGTTAACAAATTTGCCAGTCCAAGTACGTGAGGCTTATGTGCGTGTGGAATAGTAATGGCGTCGTAATTGGTTGCGTTGCGTGCGCAGAGGAAAGGGACGAGGGACCCGGCTTGGTCATGGCGCCAGGCCGGTCGACAAGAACACAGGGCAGGTTTCCAGCCTGAACTGCGGTGCGCTCGTTTGTATGGGTTTGATGGGCAGAAACTGAGCCACTCAAGCCCGCATAAATTTGAAGTTTGGTTACGACACTAGTGCATTTGCTGTGTTTTGAGTGGAATGCGAAGGGCGGGCATCCCCATAATTCATGCCATTTTACACGCCATAAATCACACCATGCAAACAGTGGACGTTTCCCAGAATATGTGGTGCAAAACATGAGACCTGCCGGCCTGTATGCTGACGGCATGGTGGAACCAACTTGCAACGCATGCATCTGGCTTGGCGCTAACGCTGCAACTCACGGAGCTGCCCCGCCTCGCTGGCTGGACAAGGTCGTTCACATACTCTGCGGACAGCGGCCACCGTGACAAGGGTTCCCACCGTTTTTATTCAATGTTCTGCGAAAGCAGATCCTTTTCCAGGGATCTGTGAACAAAACGTAGCTTGATTTTACGGTTATCTACGAACGATCGTCGCGATGGAAATGGTTCCGAAGTTCACGGCCGTTGCTGCACGGTGCCACTCAGCTGCCGTGCAGTGTTTGTCACATTTGTGTGACGCCACGTAACATCACTGCTTAATGTTTCCGAACAGACCATGGCGATTGCAGTCGACCGTACCACAGTTGCTGGCGCTTTAAGTGTAGTCTCAACAGCGTCGTCTCAAGAACATCTTTACTCGTTTGTAGGGATTTTGGCTTTCAAGAGGGATCATGCAGTCTTTTCCAGCCGCGCCACACATATTCCTTTCGTTGCTGGGCCATCAGGAAGCAGGACACAACAATGACACACGAGTACTTATCTATTTTTCATTCCGAATTTGAATCTGGATTCCCCCCCCCCCCCCCCCCCCCCACCCCGAGTGGAAAGATCACCCTTTGTGCTTCCCCAGGTCCGACGTTTGCGCACTGCATATCTTGTTTGATCTCCCGTGTACCTGTGGGTGCATGGGCATTCCGGACCGTCGGTGGCACAGTAAGGCTCTCTTGGCAGAGTGGCATGTTCGTGACGTGCCTGTGAACACCGCTCTCGCCGTGGACTGCGCTGTCGCCAACGTCACCTCCCAGAGGCCCTCCCACTGCTCCCCTGCCGGGGCCGGTCCCGAGCCGTCACGGCGAGCCGCTTCAGTCCCGCTGCCCTTCGCCTTATTCCCCTTTTCCCTCCGCAGGCGTCAGAGCCGGTCGGCCAGGTACAGTGGACCCGCGACGAGTTCGGCCTGGGCATCATACGCGACCTACCCAACTACCCACGCTATCGGATCATCGGTAATGACCTCGAGGGCATCTACTCGCTGGAGGTGCAGCGCGCCACGCTGGAGGACGACGCCGTGTTCGAATGTCAGGTCGGCGCGGCCGCCGGCCAGCAGGGCATCAGGTGAGGGAGCACCGGCCGGCCAGCACAGACCCGGGGCCCGCCGGCCAGCCGGGCATCAGGTGAGGGAGCACCGGCCGGCCAGCACAGACCCGGGGCCCGCCGGCCAGCCGGGCATCAGGTGAGGGAGCACCGGCCGGTCAGCACAGACCCGAGGCCGGGTTTTGCCATGCGACCGGAATTATTGCTTGTCTGCAGTTACGATTTTACGTGCAGAGCGTGGATGGTTGAATGGCCTTAATTTGGGTGTAAACTTCATCGCGTGGCGAATTTTGTCCGTACTGTTACAAAGGTTGGGTGCATATTATTGTTGGGTCGCTTTGGCTAAGATATTTGCTGCCCTCCGTGTCATGTTTGTGATTAGTGTAAGTATAGTTGACAAAACAAAAAACGGAGACTTCGTAGACTTTCAAGCAGGGGCCTAAAATAAGGCACTCAGTTCTTTTCAGTTCATTCGGTTTTCATGATGTCCATTCTGTTCGATTCTTTCTTTTGAACTGCTGTGCGATAACCGCACGTTCATGTGTGCGGTAATTACACGGCACATTTGTCATGTTTTTTCTTTCGCTTTGTTGATAATGAGCCTCAGTTATACGCTTAATCGTATTACTTAACAATGGTGATGATAAGGCTGGTCATTTTCATAATAGCGTGAAGGCGCGATGTAGGCAAGGATTTGTTCCTTTTTGTCGCGTCTTTAGCTGTAGCCGTTTGTCGGACGGTCACTGAACATTGGTCAGGTTAAAGCATAGTCTGTGCTTAATGCCTTGAATGAGTGATACACGGAAGGGTTTGTTGCAATAAGTCGTTGCCTCAGCGTTGGTAGACGGGTGTGCAGTTTTCTCACAATTTGGGTGCGGAGACCTCTCAACTCAGCCTAGTTCCACCAACCTAAAGGCCAGCTCTTCCAGACGTGTGTATGAACCACGTCAAATGGGGTGAAATCCAGTTTTGAATCAGATGTTTTCGTTGGCCAGTCGACTGAGCCATCGATGTGGTTTAACGAGAACGTGCCCCTTTGGCAATCTTCTGTCAGCTGTTTTAATTCTCCGCCTAGGTCGTCCGGTAACTGCGGACCATTGTTTGCCTAAATGAGCGACATCCACTATCGTCTTTCTATCCGTCCCTATGTAAAAGGCTACTGATTATCGATTGTGATTATCGAAAGGCCATCCAAATACGATAAGATCGTTATCTCACCGTTCGCCGCTGGAATTGGCAATCGTAAGCTCCCTGGGGTCCGATGTGCCTAAGGCTGGTGCTAACCCAGGTCTGGCGATGCTGAGCGTTGGGCTTCTTAATCCCATTCCTTGGTGTTTAACATACGGGCGTAGTTTGCCTACAAAACTCGGTACGCCTTAGGCTGTGATCTTTTCCAAACCCGTGGTGTCCAAGCTCGTGCTATTCTGCATTGACCTGCTTTCTTAAGATCGTGCCATCCCTGCGCATTGTCATACTGTTCCTCAGGTCCTGTATCATACTGTTCCTCAGGTCCTGTATCATGCTCCTCGAGGTGGATAGTTATTTTCCACGGTTCCTGCGGCGCTCGTGATCGTAACCTTACTTCAGGCTTCCGTTCTCAAAAGGTCACCACTTTCTCGCAGGTCCAGTGATGGCCACAATCGTGACTCCCCTCGAGTCCTGTTGGACGCGCGATCACGATCCGCCGTCGGCAGCAGTTTCCGTGACGCCGTGATCGTGGTCCTGCGGCAGGTCCCCCGACGCGCGCCTGACGGTCCTGGTGCCGCCGGAGCCGCCGCGGGTGATCCAGGGGGACCAGGTGACGACCGCGGCCGGCCTGGAGGTCCGACTCCAGTGCGAGAGTCGCAGCGACCGCCCCCCGGCCGAGGTCAGTACCGCGCCGCTCGCTCGACCTGCTCAGGTCACCGGCGCTCCCACGGAATGTCGAGACGTTTTTGGCACCTGCCCGGTACGTGGCAGGCGCCGCGGGGTTGGCTCCCTGTGGTGGCATGCCGAATTGCCGTGCGGGGAAAAGCTCTTGGTCACGAGTGGGCGGTGTTGTGAACTTTATGGCGCGTGAAGGTCCCTTCAGAGCTAACTGGCGCAGCGCTGACACAAGTTGGGAACGCTGCTGTCGTTGTTGAGCACTAAACTTGAAGAGCGGGGTTACGGTCTGCTGAATGCCTGGGCTCTGAATCCAAACGCCTCCGCTCCAGTCAGCCATTCGAGCTGAACAGCTCCGGGCTTCACCACGCCGCGCCGTCACAGAAACCCATCGCCTTTACAGTGATCAGCAGCACCCAAAGCCGTCATCCGTCACCTCTGCCCCCAGCTCCGCCCCAATCACCCGACGGCTCTGTATCCCGGACATGCCGCTGAAAGAGAAGGAAAGGTGGTGGGATGTTGAACTCATGGACAAACGTCGTCGCCAGACATGCGCATCAAGATCGGAGCCAAGGTGTGACGATTCCAAAGGTGCGTTTGCCGGCCCCACCCTGCGAGTTCCTCGACGTTTTGCGGCTCTGCATCCTGTCAGCCGTCATTGCCGCGGCCAAAGGTCATCTGCGTTTCCATCGCCGAACGCGAATAGGCTATAACCTGGACACCATTTACCGGCTTCAATTCTGTTCCACGGCACTGGCGAACATAACTGGCCGGGTAACGCGAGGTGAAAGCCGAGGTGATGCCCGAACTGGCCGCGTGAAGTGACGTCACACAAGCCCAGGTGGGCGAGTGGGAGTGTGTCCTTCACGTGCTGGGTTCGAGGTGTTGAAGAGATGTTTGCATTCTACTGTGCAAATCGATGCGGTTGCGTGCGGCTAGAGTGATGTTTTATGTTATCGCTCAGCAGTTTGCGCCGGTATATGCAATGGTAACTGAGTCGGACTTGATCGTACGCTTTCCTTTGCATCCCCTCGGTTTCCAATCTGATGAGAATGGTCGAAAGTATCGCGATTCAGCAGAATGTGAGATTATACGGATATTAAGCTGGTTGTCCTTTGCTCAGAGCATGTTGTTGTCGTTCATTTGTAATTCGCAAGTGATTCACGGACAGTTATCTCGTGAACCAACTGTGTCCAGATCAAATGGTGCTTCCTGCCCATGTCGTATGTTCCCTCAGACCCCAGTAGGTTGGTAACGCCTTTCTCCCCAGACCGAGTGGTACCCACACCCCGCCACAGGCTGCAAAGGCTGCACCATAGCCCCCCCCCCCCCCTCCCAGGTCACGCGGTAACCCTCCCCAACCCCTCCCCAGATCGAGTGGTACCGCGGCGACGGCACGATCTTCGAGAACGGCACCTCTACCGAGTCGGCGTTGATGGCTGACGGCAAGCGGAGTGTGGCGCGCTCCACCCTGGTGCTGACGGCGGCGTCGGCCCACCGCGGCACGACTGCCACCTGTCGAGCGCACAACGCGGCTCTCACTCGACCGCAGACGGCCGCCGTCGGCTGCAGGTCACGTTCCCGCCGGAGGTCAGCGTCAGCGCCGACCGGGCGCGCGCCGCCGAGTTTGATGACGTCACCCTCCACTGCCGCGCCACGGCCAACCCCGGCCAGGCGAGGCGCTGGCGAAGGAGCGGGCGCGAGGCGGGCTGGCATGGAAAATACTCTTGACTTTGTGGTTGACATTTACGACGGCTGTCAACAGATTCGTCCCGACTGATTGAAAGCCGGCCGTTTTCAGCGTTAGAGCTCTTACTGCTGCGTGATCAGGCCGCAGCGTACGGCTCTTCTTACGTCGAGTTTCTGTTTGATTATGGTCATTGTCTTGTGATTGGTGATATGACTGTCCAAATCATTGTGGGAATGTGACGGCCTGTGCGCACTGCTCCGGTGTTGGAGCCGTGGTGCTGCTGTCCGGCGTGCTATCCATTCCCGTGGGACAATGAACGCAGCCTCGAGTCACGTGATGTCCACCACCCTCCCTGAGCGGATGAGTGGCGCTGGCGCCGTTGAGCCCGCTTCCACCAGCAGGTAGAGAGGTCAGTCCATGTGGTAATCGGTGGGCGCGGTGGGGCCGCCGTCGCCGCGGCCGGTGCAGCCGCTCACCTGCAGCGCGGCCGAAGTAGCGGTGCTGGTCCGCCGGCGCTCGTCGACGGCCGAGGCCCGGCTGTGGACGGTGGTGCGCGGTGTCGTGTCGGGACCCGGCCTCCGCCGAGCGAGGCACGGCCGGACGGGCCGACCCGAGCTGAGCCGAGTCTCGCGCGCCGGCCGCCTGCGGCGAGATGGCAACCATCGTCGATGGGGCCGTCCGATCCGCGGTTAAGGTCGCCCGCAGGCCGCCCTGACGCCGGCCACTGACGGCACAGGTTCGGTATCGCTGGTTCGTGAACGGCGAGCCGCTGCCAGGTCAGACCGACAGCTCGGCGACGCTGCGCGCCGTGGGCCGTTACCTGCACAACGCCTCCATGCTCTGTCAGGTCACCAACGCCGCCGGCACGGGCAGCGACGCCACCCAGATAAACGTGCTCTGTGAGTGACTGGCGGCGGCGCGGCGTCCCGCGAAATAAGTTGAGGTGCTGGCTGCGGACCTTTGAGCGTCATTGGCAGTGCGGTGTGGGGGCGGCGGTCGGTTGCTGACGGTTTGGCACGGTCGGTGCGTGCGGCGCCAAACCGGTCAGCCTCGGCCCTGTGTGTCCAGAGCGCCGACTGCTTATCAACGCGCCTGTTGTGCATGTGGAAGCCATCATCACCCGTGTCGCCTCTCGTGCTGTCGCCGGGTCCCGTCAGACCCGGCTTTCTCGACATCCGCAGCGAGCAGCAGTGTTGGCCGCCGTGATGCTACCAGGCTTCCTGGTGCTCCCCGCCGCTCGTTCATCCTCGGGCTTCGCAACTGTCGACTCGCCCAATCCTAGTGGTACCACGCCGCTGCGCTCGGCAAAAATTCGCCTATCTACCGTGCCATGTAACAGATCCAGCGCTTAGCGGCGGCCGCACCACCTGCACCAAGCCCATAACTCAGATTAGACGTTAATGTCGCCGGAAAATGACCGCAACAGCCGATTACTTACCGTCTACGACGCGGACGCGGCCAAAGCACGCCTGCTGCGCCGCTTCGCTGGCGGACAACAAAACAATCCGCCATTGTACGGACTGGGACTGGCTGACCGCCGCGCCCTGCACTATCCGCAGACGCACCGCGCTTCCGCACCGAGCCGCGGGACGTGGCCGCGGACGCGGGCCAGGAGGCGACCCTGCTCTGCGACGTGGACGCCAACCCAGCGCCCGAGGTCAGCTGGGTCAGGCGCGAGTGCGACGCCTGTCCGGAGGTGAGTCACCGCGGCGCCGCCAGTCGTGCGGCGGCGAGTCGCTGCTGGAGCGACCGCAGGCGGGCGTCGGGTGCGACGAGGGCGAGTCCTGCGTCCGAGAATGGAAGAGCATTCAGCTAACACGCGGCAGGCTCCGCTGAATAAGCACGCTGTGTCTGAAGCCGCTCGTGCTGCTCACCTAGAAAACAGCGGCCAACAGGCAGCGCGACGGCTGACTTGCAGACCGAGGCGACGGCAGCCTTGCAGACCGAGGCGACGGCAGCCCTGCAGACCGAGGCGACGGCAGCCTTGCAGACCGAGGCGACGGCAGCCCTGCAGACCGAGGCGACGGCAGCCCTGCAGACCGAGGCGACGGCAGCCTTGCAGACCGAGGCGACGGCAGCCTTGCAGACCGAGGCGACGGCAGCCCTGCAGACCGAGGCGACGGCAGCCTTGCAGACCGAGGCGACGGCAGCCTTGCAGACCGAGGCGACGGCAGCCCTGCAGACCGAGGCGACGGCAGCCCTGCAGACCGAGGCGACGGCAGCCCTGCAGACCGAGGCGACGGCAGCCTTGCAGACCGAGGCGACGGCAGCCCTGCAGACCGAGGCGACGGCAGCCCTGCAGACCGAGGCGACGGCAGCCTTGCAGACCGAGGCGACGGCAGCCTTGCAGACCGAGGCGACGGCAGCCTTGCAGACCGAGGCGACGGCAGCCTTGCAGACCGAGGCGACGGCAGAAGCCCGCCGTGGTTATAGGCTGTCAGCTGGCCGGTCGGAACCTAACGTGGCTTACCCGGCGCATGTTTCGAATTCCTTGCAGCGCAGCACCGGCCTCGCCGGTGTTGGGGGATGCCTTACGTACCGTACGGTCGCGATACGCACCTCTTGGGCGTGGAGACTCCGGTGGATGTCCTGGCAGGAGCCTGTTATGCGTGGGTCTTGTCGGCCTGTGTGGTACAGCCCTCTGATGAATGGCTGCGAGTGGGATGCGCTGACAGGGGAAAAGCGTCGGTAAGCCCCCTGGATTGCAAAAAAGGTTATTACATGCCGGCTTAGACGTAATTAGCTGCCTTGGGTTAGAGTGTTTTTTATCGGAACGGCCTTGGTTTTATCTGTGCTGAGGCGGGTGGAAGGATGCTCAGGACCGGAGCTTGCTTTGGATTGCATCTGTCGCCGTCAGAGACACGCTACGTGGAGCGGTTATGCTTTAACAATGCTGAGTTAGATAAAGCCGCAGTGACTGCAGCGGAGAGATACCGTCCTGAATGCCCGTCAACCTCTCCTAGTTCTCCTTCCAGTCGTTGGACTGGTCCCCACCCAGTTCTGTCGCTGCCAGCCACCGCGGTTTGGCGCCCCACGCTGTTGTGATGGCCCGCCTCCCCGGGCGTTACCTCATATACTCTCAGTCTCCATGGTGTGCACCCCCTGGGCCCCGGCCGTACTCCACGCCGTGCAGGGTTGTAACCGTCAGGTCAGTGACCCCACTCGCGGTCCCAGCTCGTCTGCGCCGCGATGGCCGCCGTCCTGCTCCGCCGCGACACGGCGGCCACGGGTGCACCACTCGCATGGCGGCCGCAATTACGGGCTACTCTCGGCTGGCAATTGCTCCCATCTCTAGCGGGTGGTCGTTTAATTTTCACACCGGCCGTCGCCGCCGCCGCAGCCGGCCGGCCGCGCTGGCTCCGGCCCGACGCGCTCGCGGCCGCCACTCGTTTCCGTCATTTACAGAAACACGGCCCGGTCACGGCAGCCCACAACACATAATGGCGGAACCGGTTCTCGGGATTTGTGTCCCGAGATGAATCGCGCGTCCTGCTTGGCGTGCACGTTGTCGCGCGGCGGGATGAGGCCGCGTCGCGACATCCTCTCGCAATCCCGACCAGTGCAGTTAGGCCATGACTTCATATTTAGCAGTGAATGTAATAACATCAAGTACAGATGGGCGGTACAGCTCCATGTCTTGCCACCCGGCTCCCAGTTTGCATGCTGACTGCGTACGTTACGGGGAGTCCATGCAGTTCCTGTTGGCGCCGCTTGGATATATTTCAAGGAGCGGTGCCTCGTATTTTGCAAGCATTTGCGGATCTGCAGTTCTGCTTGCCGCGCTTGGCTTAGCATAAAGTAGTACTCGGCGTGTTTACTTAGGGTGTTCGTCCGACAAATAGCCATGCGTTTCAGCAAAAAGTAGAGCTTTGAAAGGTGAGGAGAGCTCTCAAAATGTTGCGAGAGCGTCTCGAAGTATCCGACACTTCAGCACGTTCAACACTACGTACGGTGCCATACACCGTACGGAGAACCAAACGGTTAGGGCGACCGGCTTCCTCTCTGGACTGGGATCCTGGGACGGCGCATTGTCCGGAAGCCAGCGCACATATGCGGGCACACAGTGTCCCTCCGCAGTAGGAGAATGAGGCGAGGGAGTGAAGAGGGTAAAGTGATCTCACTCCACTAAAGTATCTCCAGATCACTCCAGATCACTCCGAAGATCACTCCGGTTAGGTGATTTGGCGTGCATCGACGCGGAATTCACCTCCGACGCGTGGACCTGACCCTGTCGCCTGACCTGCTCCGCGGACACAGTCGTCCTGCGCTGGTGCCCTGACCTGACCCGTGACCTGACCTCCGCCCTGCCTGTCCACAGCCGGTGGGCACCGGCCGCCGCCTGACGCTGGTCGCCTCCGTTGACACGGTTGGCCTCTACGAGTGCTGTACCTCGGGCGAGCACCACCCGGTCGTGTCGCGCCAGATTCGCCTCTTCGTGCCCGCGCCGCCGCGCGTCACGGCGCCGCCGACCCAGCGCGGCACGGCCGGCCAGCTGGTGCGCCTCAAGTGCAGCGTGGCGAGCGTGCCACCATCCACGGCCGTCACCTGGCTCTTCAACAACCAGCCCGTGCCGCTCGGTCAGTGAGCGGCCGCCGGCGGGACAGGGCCCGGAGCGGCGGGGCGGGGTTGGTTGGGGCGGGCTTGAGGAGGTGTGTGCTGAGAGAGGTGTAAGGCAGTTCATAGAGATGTGCCACGTCTGTTCGTTTGTTGGAGTTGGGTCACAAACCACTGCTCACACTCGCCGAGTTGTGGAGAATTGTGAGCACGCTTGCATGCCGGGAATTTGAACCACCGTCCTGACACGAGCAGGTTAGCAGCGTTGTCCTGCAGCGTCCCCTGTCCTCAGTTTTCGCGGTGGGGAGAGGCCGAACCACCGCTGACGCAGTGGTAACCTCACCCCCTCACGACTGCGCAGACGCCGGCCACTGCGCCGTGCTGGAGGAGGTCGTCGTGGGCGGCATCCGCAGCTTGCTCGTGATCCCCGACGCCCGTGAGGAGGACTTCGGCCTGTACAACTGCTCCGGCACCAACACCTACGGCACGGACTCGGCGTCCGTCATCCTGGAGAAGCAGCGTGAGTACCAGCGGGTGGCCGGCGGTGCTCGCGAGCGGCGGATGACGCTCTGCTACCGTCCGGTGGGAGCGGGACGGACCCGGCGTCCGCCACCTGCCAGACAACGCTGGTATCTAAGGTAGCGAACACGGCAGTGTAGACTGGGACATGTTTTTACGAAGGTTCAAGACCAGACGTGACGAAAACATCGATCATCTGTCTGTGGTTTTGGTCAGACTTTGATAGGTATGAACGGCCGCGGGCTAGACGCGGCTTAAACCTCTGAGATATCGTGCAAGCGCCAACATCCACCACACACGATTGGGTGGCGAAGAACTTGCACATAGATCTGTCGACAGGGGTACACACAGGAGACAGACGCATCGAACGGTTTATACGGGATATCGGTCATTCTTGGTGGCCGGTGGCGGGTTAGAGGGCGGAAAGTGCCAGGGTGCGGAGCAGACACGTGCCGGTTGTCTGGGGCTGCTGGGCCGGCTGAATCGGTCAACGAGGACACGTGCCACCGCAATGTACGGGCGTCCCATCGCAACTGAAAGCGACTTCGTTCTTCCGTTATCTCGCAGGTTTGTGCATTGCATGGAACTTACCTGTCCACTGACACAACGACCGCGTACTTTCGGTAAATTCCAGCAAAAATATTGTTGGTTGGCACGAGCGATAGGCTCGGCCTTGAGCCACAACCGTGTGTGGTGGCGATGGGCTCATTTTCACCCTGGTGAGTGGGCGGGCGCCCGGGTGAGCAGGGGAGGCGACGCCCCATCGGTGCCACGGAATCCCGAGCCTTGCTCTATCGCTGTCGCATCACTTAGCTGGGCGGCGTCGAGGCAGCCACGCCCCACCCCGAGCGGTGACGGATGACGCCCGTATGTGCGCCACCCAGCAGCGAGGTCGGCCTCCTGTCGCCGTAACCGCAACACGAGTCTTGCTGGGTGGCTTTGACGTTTACTGCTGTTCTCTGGACCTAATGCTGAGAGATCAGCGCCGATGAAAACACGCGGTGACGGGCTTTAGCCCGGTTTACGTTTGAATGCTACTATGGATTTCATTTGTTGTAAATCCAGCGTGCTGTAAAATGTCTGCGTGCGTGTCATCTGCTACCCGTGTTTGCATCAGAATAGCTGAGGCGTAGGAGGCACGAATTTTTGACGTGGTTTGCTGCTGAGCATGTTGACTGACCTTTCATCCAGTGCATAGGGCATATCTTCCACTCTACTCGACAAATGTCATCATACATTCATTGTAAGATGGTCGTAATCTTTAATGCCAGTTTCATCATCATTACACTTGTTTTTAGGACGTCGTACATATTTCATTATTTTTTGGAAATAACCATCATTCCATGCAGCCAAAAAAATACGCGTTATTTTATGTTGTGTGAATATTTTTGTAAAAGTTGGTGAGAACCTTTTGAATGGATGGATGCGGATTTATGAGATCAGAGCTTTCGCTAAGCATTGTTTGCTGTGAGCCCTGACACCGACCATCCGACCGCGGAACTCCAGGTCAACGGCAGCATTTGATGGCAAAAGTTGAATATGCCGCAATGCTCGGCCCGGTACGCCGTGCCCTCTGGTGTCGCCTGACTGCAGCTGCTGCCACCGGCCGCAGGCTATATCTGTCGAGGGCAAATAGCGACCGCCTGAGGCGTCCCCCGCGCCACGGGTGGGTAGATCGGAAAACAGGTGCTCTCTAACCAACTGAGCCACCGGGACGTACTAGATATGACATATTGTGTTTTACTTTTTCACCAACTCCACTTCATTTGTGTATGCGGATTGAAAGACTGACGTGAACAATTTGTTTGGTTTCGGTGTCCAAATATTTTTAAAAATCGATACTCAAATGCATTTATATAATCCGTGACGTGACAATTCCTACTGTTTGCGGATTGAAAGATCAGCAAGAGGTGTCGATATTAGTAGTGAAGATTATTAGTGTTAATTATGTTAGATATTGGTGTTGAGGGTGAACGCATACATTTTGCGACAATTCGCGTAATTGGTGCTTGATGTAGCCAGGGCGAGTGTTTATCTCTTCGTTTTTACTTGCCTTTACCTTCTTCGTTCTTCCTCAGCATAGGTTGGGAGTTATTTAGTTGAAAATATCGAACCTTCAACGTACCAAGAGGTAGTAGTTGGACAACATTGTCAAGCTAGAGTTGTTTTTATTGAGAAATTTCGACGTTTCAAATCGGTGGTCATAATCACTGGCGACTATGAGCACAAGCATGGCATCAACCATACCACAGCCAGTGAATGCTTGATAACGTAGGTTAGCCAGTGTCTTCTGGTGTATGGAAGGTCGATTATTTTCCACAGAGAAACTCTCAAGTTATGACGGCGAACATCCAGAGCTCAAACACCCGCTTGCGTATATCAGGATTAATGGTGTACATTGCGGTGTAGGATTATCTTCGTAATTTTCCGGTGCGATGATCCGAACCCTACACATATGACGATTTTAAGGTCATCCTGAGAAAGGAGTTGATGGAAAACTGACTTCAAAAATAGAAAGATAAGTTCTTTCTATAAATGGTACCATAAGACTGGAAAATGTTTGGCTTTGTAACTCATAGCACAAGGCTGCTAATGTTTTGTTGCATTCATGCGTCTGCATCCTGAGCAAATTCATGTAAAGCCACCTTGTGAATGTGCTGCTGATGAAACTCAGAATGACTGCTCCTTGTTTTCAGCTATTTTTTTCTGTGAGAGTGAGAGTATTTCGCGACATCCGAATAGCAATCTCTGAAGCTTCAAATTCCCCCCAATCCGAAGATTTCATCAAATTTTGGAATGAGTCGAAGTTAAATGCTTGGCCGCAAACGCAGTGGTACTACACGGCACACTTGGCCCTTTCAAACCTTGCAGCCCTCGGCGCCGTCTGGCTACAGTTGTATGCACCACAATGGAGTGACAGAAATTGGCTGCAAGCTGCCGACCGAATGTGGCGACATGAGTGTTGGATTGCAAAGGTATCCGCGCCGCCATAGCACCGGAAATGGTGACCAAACTGGCTCATCCATACCCTGCATGATTCCGTTCTGAATCCCCCCCCCCTCAAAAAAAAACCAGCCGGTTGGTGCACGCAGACAACGGATTAGTCCTAAAAACGTGGCTGGTTGATAAAAGCGCACATGTCACCACAGCACCCCCGTCGGGCCTGTTATTTTTGGTGAGAATGGCCGCCGTGGGCACCATGCTGGGACACTTCAGTGACCAGGTGTCGTCACGAGCAGCACGTCTTCTCACTAGCAGAGGCACGTGGTTTTCCTCGCAGCGGAGGGGAAGGGGGCGAAGAGCAGATTTCCCCAAATTATACGAGTTTTCATAGGCTAGTTTTGCCAGCATTGGTGATTTTGTTCAAATGCATGTAGGCCGAGACAAATGTGGAGAGGATGGTAAGCCCTCTCAAGAGAGATAGATCTTCTTGCTTGCATGTTTGAATGTCCAGCCCACTGTTGAGGTTTCGAGCAGGTGACCACACGAACCATATCTTTCAGGAGAGCTTCCGCTGCTCGTCATCCTGACCATCGTGATTGGGGGCATCGTCGTCAGCACCACCATCATCCTGGTGATCGGCATGTGCCAGCGTCATCGCTGCCCTTCTAAGGACGCGTCGACAGGTCGGTGTGTGCCTCAGTCAGTGTTACCGCCAAGTTGACGGGTGACATTTTTCGTTGCCATATCTGTAGCTGCAATTGCAATTTTAAATACGTTTTTCATGGCAGTAAGCATTCGTGCACGTTGATTCGGGTCGATGCTTCACTTACACGTCACTGGGAAGGACTATCCGTGCCTGTCAGAGCAGGGCTTACGCATGTATTACGCATGGTCGGATTACCTATGCTCTGGCCTCGATTCACGGTACAAGCCTGTTTTCCATGTACATTCGGTGATAGTTGTGCGGCGGCGACCGGTTACATTCACAGAAAGATTATTCCTTTCATGTAACTGTTAATGGCAGGACCTTGATAATCGTTTGCTTACAGTTGCAAACAAACGCCATGTCACTGAGGCTGTTGTTTTGATATGGCGCATTGGGCCTCAGAGACGCCTGAGGTGATCACTGATTGGACGGGACGCGATTTATGGCGAGGGGGATTTCTGTCTTTATCCTGGGCAGAATCGATTCGGGGAGATAAGTCTGTGGAGCACAGGGTATTATAATGGTTTACAAGATGTTTTCTCATGTTCTGATTAAGAAGATGCCAGTTGTTTTGACGACAGCTTTGTCGATGGCCCGATCACCCGATTCTGTTTTGGCGTTGGCATTGTTCAGTGATGACCAAAAATGATATGCGACTTAGAGGTGTGTGCGACGGCTTAGCTTTACAGTGCCCTGAAGGACGGGCTGAACATCCGATGTCTGATGGTCACATGGCATTCTTGCTCAGTCGCCGTGGTGGTGGGGCGTTCCCTCGTCTTGACGGCTCCACCCGCCCGCGGAGCTAGTGGCGTTTGACAAGACGGCCAAGCCAACGGCGGACGCCAACTCATCGGGCTCCGACCTCAAGGTCGAGATCGGCACGTCGTCGTCCGGGCCGGGTCAAGTGGTCGCAGACCGCTGGGACGGCGCCCACTACCCGGGCTACCGCGCTCTCTACGAGCAGCACAGCGACGAGCGTGCCTTCCTGCCCTTCGACAAGGTGCGGCCGAGCCTACGTGGTCATTCGACGCGCCACTGGTGGCGGCAGAATGATTAGCTGTTGGCGTGCCGTGCGGACGGGCCGTTCCGTGTTGGCGTGTCGTGCGGACGGGCTGTGCGGACGGGCCGTGCCGTGGGTCGCGTCACTGTCATGCGGCTGAATAGTTTGTTGTATTTTTTGCTGACTTTACAAGTGAACGGACAGACACGCTGCAGTTGTAATGGCGATGTGCTTGACATAGAAGCATTTGCTTTAAAAACTGCTGGTGCGGATCTAAGCACTTACTTGTCCAGCTGTCGGGCATTTAGAAATTTGTCCCTGAACTCCAGCATCACGCTGCAGAGTAGCACGTTTAGTGTTCAGTGTTCAGTTGCATGTTTAATGTTCAGTGTTCAGTGTTCAGTTGCATGTTCAGTGTTCAGTGTTCAGTTGCATGTTCAGTGTTCAGTGTTCAGTTGCATGTTTAGTGTTCAGTGTTCAGTTGCATGTTCAGTGTTCAGTGTTCAGCTGCATGTTTAGTGTTCAGTGTTCAGTGTTCAGTTACATGTTCAGTGTTCAGTTGCATGTTTAGTGTTCAGTGTTCAGTTGCATGTTCAGTGTTTAGTGTTCAGTGTTCAGTGTTCAGTTGCATGTTTAGTGTTTAGTGTTCAGTGTTCAGTTGCACGTTTAGTGTTCAGTGTTCAGTGTTCGGTTGCATGTTCAGTGTTCAGTGTTCAGTGTTCGGCGGCTGCCCAACATCGGGATATTCACGCATCCCGCCGTAACGTAAACAATGCTTTGCCTCACTGCACTCACACGCTTTTCCTTCACAGGAGGCGGTGCCGCAGAACGGCACGGGAATGTACCAGAGCGGCTGCCTGCACAAGCAGGGCGGCCAGCCGCGCATGCTGCACGCGAGCACGTCGGTTGGGTTGGGCGCCCGCCCTCCGGCCGACAGCCCGTCGCACAGCCAGCACTACTGCGCCCCCGAGAGGGTGGCACCGCCGCCGCAGCCGACCTACTACTCGCAGCAGACGAGTCTGCGCCGCGGCCGGCCGGCGTACTACGCGGTCCAGGCGGGCGCCGGGCAGCCGGGATACCCGGCGCCGTCGCCGGGCCTGGCCCACCGACCCAGCTACTACTCCCAGGACGTGAGCGACACCTCGAGCGCCTCGCAGAGGCTGAGCGGCGCGCCGTACGACGAGACGGTCGGCAGCGCCCCTGGCGGCCGTACCGGGTACTACGCGGCCGACGACGCCGCCGGCCGCCTGACACTGCGGCCGCCAGACGCCACTGCGGATGCGGTGGTCGCAGTCGTGGCGTACGGCCGCGGCCCGGTCGGCAGCCTGGGGCGGGGCCGGGCGCACGTACGCAGACCCGCCGCGACCCTCCCACGCCCAGGCCGTGCAGATGAAGCCGGGTACCATGGCGACGGCCGTGTGACGCAGGGTGTGAGTGCAGAGGGAGGGGCGTGTTCACCGGCCCTGTGATGTGATCGGGTGGGTGGCACACTGCGCTCCGGTGTCGCTTGCAGCTATGCTCTGCGGAGGCGCCGGGGACGTGACGCGGGGACCGCAGTTACTGCCGTGGGATATCAGCGGAGGTAGAGGTGCCCTGGTGTGAGTGTAAGCACATCAGAGTCGTGTGGACTGACGGCGGGATGTCGCAGCTGACATCCGTGTTGCGTCATGTGTCCCAGATATACCGTACCGGACTGCTGCTACTGCGCGTGTCGCACCAGATCAATCCCAGAACGAGCAGTTTGCAATGGACCAGATCGCTCAACTTGCGTCAGAGGCTTATATCACGCGTTGCCACAATCGTGCTTGGATGCATCAGTGCGCTTTGGATGGATAATTTGATGGCTGTCTGTTCTGTCGTTGGTGCGCATGTCAACATTCGTTACTATGACACTGTGCATGCCAAACGGACTGCCCCAGTGTACCCGTCCCATCCGCGGAGCCTTGCTCAGCGGCCGTCTATGCCAGGACAGACGATCGTTTCTGTTGTTCGGTGCCCCAGTGTACCCGTCCCATCCGCGGAGCCCTGCTCAGCGTCTGTCGATTCCAGGACAGATGATCGTTTATGTTGTTCGGCCTCGTTGTTCGTGGCGTTCGGTGTTCCGTGCTCCGGGGCCGGTGCTCAGCCAGCTTCGTGGTGTGCTGCCGGCGGAGGGCAGTAGCTGAGGCCAGAGGCGTGGAGTGACGCCTCTGCCGCTGGTGGAAGGGAGACGTTTTGTATCGCTGAACATGTGACTGGGATAACCTATAAATACATGGCTAGGTGCCTTCATTGTTCCGTGTGGACCTGGGCTGCGTGAATGTGTCGTTTGTGGTGTGAACGGTTCGCACGCCCTGGTGTTCGGCGAACGGGTCAGGTGTAGGGGGACAGCGCTGTTGAGTGGTGAGCATTCACTGCGCCCTATCAACTCAACAACTGTTTTTAATACGTTAAATAATAGGTACTAATCAAAGCACTGGGATTTATCCCCGAGAGAAACACAGTAGGGCGAGTTGTAAGATATGGGTGTACGTTATTAAAAATGTCAGCCAGGCTAATTTAGTCAGTGCCTCACCAAAGCTTGAGCTGCGTGTCTAGGGTCAAGTGGCCAATAATACTCACATTTCCACTACAGGATTCTCACGCTGTTTTTTTTTGAAAGATATGCTAAAACAACGAGAATATACCACACAGCACGCAAATAGTGTGTCTATGCTCCAACAACACAGGGCTTCAGTTTATTTTGAACTGTCAGCTGCGCGTACCATGGACTGAAGCGCAATGTGCCAGCAAATGCTAGCACGCGAAGGTATATTGGGCCGAAGAGAATGCTTGGCTCCCAAAACCACGAGCTTCGCGGGTATGCTCAGCAAACGACGACGCTTCCCATCTTGGATCTAGAGAGATCTGAGATCTGAGTGCTTCACTTACAATCCAGCTGATGCTTTTTGGCGGCGTCACCACGGCCCTTCGACGGATGGAAGTGGATGACCGCGGTAGACTACGTAGGTTTTCACCGGCCCACACGACGTCCCCGCGGCGGAGCTGAACACCATTAGCAGTGCTCACAACCACACGGTCCGAATAAGCCGGTCCGAGACGTGTTAAACGGGGTCTGCAGCGACTGCCCGCCCCTGCGGACTAGGTCAAGTTCAGCGGCGCGCGTCCGCCGGGGACCGGCACTGCAGCAGGTCACGGTCGCCCAGCCCGCTCTGCTGGACCGTCTGTTAGTGGATCGGTCGTAGAGCGGTGCCGCCAGTGGCATGCAGCGCTGCTACTTTATTGCGCAATGGAGACGTCTGTGGCTGTTGGGGTTGTCGCTCGGGGGGCCGGCCAACGCGTCAACTTTCTTGGTAGTTTGTCAAAAATCCGACCAGTTCAGTGCAGCAATACATACTTTAAATGTATAGGTGTTTTGTCGCATATTCCAACTGTTCGCTGGAACTTTAGATATTCTACCATGGCTTCTGCCATGGATTGAATATGAACTTAAATGAAACGTAACGTGCTCACAGCCTACCACGATTTTAACAAGGCACGTTAAACGTTTTACCCTTTTCGATTCAGAAATGTTAAGCACGAGCCAATATCGTGTTAGACTAAATATCAGCACTGTTAAGGAGCCACTAACTTCAGAGCTGTTCGTAGGATGGCTACGGTGGAGAGCCTTGGCCAAGCCTTGTATTACAAAACGGAATCTCACTGAGAACGATGGGAGTGAGGGGTGCGCTACTGTCATATTTCCGTCCTATTTTGTTGTATTTCTGTTATGAACATATGTTCTGGTTCCGTGGTCACGGCCACAGAGTCAGAGTCGTTCGTAGGCCCATCCCATGACCGGGACTTACGGAGTGTATATCACAACGCGCAGCTGGTGCCCAGTGTGCACTACGTTCTGGTTCGCGACCCACCACTGACATCACTGCTCTCGCTGTCCACCAATCGCCTCGGGGTATTTCGGGTCACGCGTCCAAAACGGCAAGTACATCCTGAAATATGTTATCGACAGCGAGGGCATGAGCGACACCCGCCTGTACGTGCCCATGACTAACGAGCTAAGACTCGGCCACGATGACTGAACAGAGCAACATGGTGAGTGTTGGCCTTTTATTCATTGATATGGGTATATTCCTCCTACGTCACATGCAGCACTTTTCAATAGGATTGCGCCGTATGTATTAACGGTGAGCGGTGCAGTATTCAATGGACTCGCCTGGCGGCCCGTGGCCAAGATCCGGTTCGAGCATGAGCGTTGAGGGCACGTGTCACGCATCCCTAGCTGAGTTTGTGACCGAGTGCGTAGATTGTGTCACTCGGTGCACTCTCCTTATCACTCCATACGCTGAGCCTGCGAGGAATAACTCCAGCCGTGGGGCTGCTAAGCAAGATCCCCAGCAGCTGAGCTGCTGAGAAGCTCATAGCCGGTGGACTAACGATCACACAGCCTGAACTGCTGCGCTGCTGAGGCTCATCACGAGCTGCTGGCTGCTGAGCTGCTGAGACACATCCCGAGCTGCTGCACTACAATCTGCTGAACAGCTGTGCCAGACCCACGGTAGCTACGTTTTTGCGCCAGCCTCCCGGCCTCACAAATCCACGCCTCCCAGCCTCCCAGTCTCCCAGTCTTCCAGCCTCCCAGCTTCCCAGCCTCCCAGCCTGCCAGCCTGTCAGCCTGCCAGCCTGCCAGCCTGCCAGCCGCGCCGCCGCCTCGGCCGCCGCCTCAGCCCCTGTAGCCGATCTGGTTCCGCACCCAGTCGGCGTACAAGGCCACGTCGACGTAAATGCCGGGCCGGTTGGCGTCAGCGCAGCCGACGCCCCAGGCCACCAGGCCGGCCACGCTCCAGCGGCCGGAGCCGTCGTCGCAGACCAGCGGCGTCCCGCCGTCGCCCTCGCACGAGTCCTTGCCCTCCCCGCCGCCGGCGCAGATGAATGCGCGCAAGTCCAACCGGAAGTCGCCGCCGAGCCGCGTCTGGCGCAGCTGGTACTGACACGTGCCCTGCGGCACGACCGGCACGTCCGCCTCTTTCTGGATGCAGCTGTACTGGCCCTGCGCGCCGAACGCGTCCTTACCGAAGCCGGCCACCCAGCAGCGCTGGTAGTCAAAGCTCTGGCCGCTGGCTGGCAGACATGCGGTGTTGACGTGCGGTAGGCCCTACAGATAGAGCGACTGTGAGAGCCGCAGCGCGCCACGTCCTGCTGCAGGTTGTCGGAGTTGACGTACGGGTGCACGATCATCTGCGAGACGGTGCGTTCCTCGTGCGCGCACGGCTCGTGCTTCGGGTCGCTGGCGTCCCACTCACCGAAGCGGATCTGCCGGGTGGAGGACAGTCAGTGGCCGCCAGCCTGGTTATAGATAAGTTATTTGACTTTCGAGAAGAAAACACGCAAACGGTTGCTGCAGTTCTGATCGCACGCCACATTTGTATGGAGACATGTCACGAATTTAAAGGTATATAGCGCAGACTAGATTCGCACATTTTTGTTGAAATGCAACGCAGCACTGTTGGCACAAACTTTTTCGCCCACCTGATCACTCCTCTCAGAGTACATTACCACTTCCGATGGACGAAACCAACACACAGCAACAAAAACAAGACAAATTCAGGAAAAACCATGCACACTCGACATACACTGCACTGCATACCTAAGCATGTAAAACAAGCCCGAATATATCCGAGCGGGCCGTATCTTGAGCCAAGAGTAACCATTCTTGTACTTGTTGACGTGATGGACCACCGTCAGCACCCACTGGCTATCGATGAGCACGCCAAAACCGACGTAGGCGTTGCCCTCGCGCAGAATGGTCGCCACCTACGGATTGGCGCCGAAGTGCGCCTCGGCCGGCTGCTTGCTGTAGCCGGGCACTGGGATGGAGGTGCTCCGGCCCCACTGGCATGCGGACGCCGCCGGGCATGCCGAGTACGTGGGCTGTGGCTGCACCGGGTACACCCCGCCGCCGCCGCCGCCGCCGCCCGAGGTGGGAGGGCAGCACAGCTCCTGGTACTGGCTGGCGCACTGCAGCTGGTGTTGACAACCGTCTGCGAAGCGGACGAGGACGCCGGTTAGCGCGCTCAGGGCTAAGTGGGCTAGAGTGGAGTGGGTGAGTAGACCAGAGTGGAGTGGATGGACCGTGTGGAGTGGGTGAGTGGACTAGAGTGGAGTGGGTGGGTGGACTAGAGTGGAGTCGTGTACACAACCGCTCGGGCCGCGCTGTGAGTGATGTGACGGTATTGGCTGTAGGCTGAAACTCGTAGCACAGCATGAATCAGGAGTAATCGTCCGGGCGGTCAGGTCGGCCGGGAGAAAACATCGGGAGGGTCAGATAAAATCAGCGACCGGTTAAAGCCCGTGGTATGCAGGATAAAACGAAAGCTGCCTTAGCTGTCTGTTTTCCCGCTAGCACGCCGGCACACAAGAAAGACCGGCGAGCAGGGCGACTGGGAGCACACTCACGGGCCTAGCACTGACAATACGGACGTCCAGTAGACCAGAGCCGTCCAAGTTGTCGTTGTGCGGACACTGGTGGATATCGGAGCAGTAGCAGCTGTCGCGTCTTGGATTACGTCCCTCTGACTGTCCACCGGTGTAGACTGGCGAAACACGAAACATTCAGCGGGCAGCATACGGAGCCGCGCTGTCCCACACGTGTCCTACACGTACACACCGCTTTTGTGCGCACTTCAAGGGGACTAGCGACATCTGAGAACTCCTTTAAGGCGTCATTACCCGTCCCTAGATCACATGGGACATCGGCTACCATTGCATGCAATCTCAAGACGCATCTATTTGCTGGGCCGGCGGGGACCTCCAGACTGACCGCTGTTCCCCTGCTGGAGGTTCTGGCTGGCGCCACTCTGGTAGGCGGTCGGCTGGTTTGTCTGCTGCCTCGTGTCGACGATGCGAGACGGGTAGCCGGAGCCGGGCACCGGTCCAGGCTGCCCAGCTGGCTGCCGAGCAGGCCTATGCGCGGCACAGTATCGCAGCCAGCAGACCAGCAGAACAGCAGCCAGCAAACCAGCGAGCACCAGCCAGCGCGGCATCTGAGCACGGTGTGCTGGCTCAGTGGCGATTGTAGCAGGTGCAGGTGCAGACCAGTGCAGCGGCGCTCCAGAGAATGCTACCTCGGGTGGCATGTAACAGCGGCGTGAACGCAACGCTGCAGCAAACAAGCGGGCCGACAACAGCTGGCTCAAGCGCACCTTCTAATTCGTGATCGAAGCATAGCTACGAGTGGCAGTGCGGTGTAATCAGAACAATCGGCAATATTTCAAAACCTGTGGTGTGCATGACAATTGACGGCACTAGCAAATTCTGCGCACAGTTCCGGGAAATCAAAATTCCCGGGGCGAAGAAGCTGGCTACCTTTGTCATATCCGCCTGCTTATTCCTATTTTTTTAACAATGGCAGGAGGGGAAAACGTACGTCAACAAGTGAAAATAGTATTCGTGTCAGTCTCATTTGCATGCGAGGGTGTGACCTGGGCCGCCCAACGTGTTTTAACTTTAAACTGGCAGCAGTCTTACCCCTGGGTGCATTCGTGAAGCTTTAAGTCAAGCCGTTTGTTGATGTCCGAGCTCCTTGCACCATCCAAAGACCCACGTCAGTATTTATTTTTGAGTGGCACGTTTGTAGGACCGTTGGTGACTGTCTGCTTAACATGCTTTTACTAAACCAGCCCGGCTGGGCGAGCCCTCGCCCCGATTCGCCGTTTTTCATAACGCGGCCTGAAGTCGACGCGGACCGGGTTGGACGTACCCCATGCCGTTTTAAAGTTTGATAAGGTTGAGCATAACAGAAAAATGGCGCGGCGAAAAAGTGTAGTGCAATAGTGCAGTAAAATAGTGCAGTTTGATCTGATTGAGATCTCGTGGTTTGTAGTAAGTTGTTCGTTGCTAGGTCAATCACTGGTTGGCCCCACTATGCCAAGCCAAAGGGAAAATTTTCTTTGAAGTCGAACTTTTTCAGTTTTAAAAACTAATGAAACACAGCCTAAACAGGCATGTTTCAAGTTTGGGTGTGGGTACAATGCCCTAAATCCGGTTGGTGAATAGCTTTATATGTTTTAAGCATACATTTATGGTGTAGGGCTCTGCTAATATAATAGTGTCAGCCAGCCACACGTGATCTGTGGATCGTCGGCTGCTGACCGCCGCTGCGCCGGCCGTGAATCGCTGCCCAGCGCTCCTCAAAAAGAAAAACTGTTGCCGCTCAGAAACTGGAAAATATAGGAACAACTTTCGGCCTAAAAACACGCGCAACCAATGCCCCAGGGACTATCGAAAATTTGGACGCGATAGCACGGCATGCCGGAGAGGTATCTTCAGAAAACCGTGGGAAGGGGAGTGGGCGTTGCATTCAACCTCCCCACCGGTTAAGGTTAAAAAGAATGTTCCACATTTGAAGATATTGAAGCAAACATGAGGTACGATGAAATAAGCCCAATTATTTCATCGCATCCCATTGCATCATCTCATATTTCGTCGCAACTATTTGCAAGCCCTTAAATTGAAAAGACTGCTGTAGACAGTACAATTTCTCTATGTAATAGCTATGCTCCTCAATACGTCATTGCTTGACTGCGTCATCGTACCTTGCGCAACATTGATTGAGGGCCACTCGACGGCCGTCATATCTGGAAATCATGTTTGCGAACGCCAGACATGAATAACTCGACAACTATATTATGATTGGCCTTGATCGCCGCATGGCCAATGGAATGGCAAAATTTGATTGACGTCATCATGGCGTCATGGATGCCCGGCTTACCTTCAAATAGCCTGCACGAAATAGTCTGCACATACGCGCGGGCGTGTCGCTCAGAAACTAAAAGGGGTTTAGGTGTGAAGAAGGGCAGGGCCGCGAGCTGCACTGAATGATCTCCACGACGACTGTTTTAGTTCACAACGCCATACAAATGTGGGACATTTTCCTTTACTACACGTTCGTAGGTGATTGATCCTATCCAGCTGGTGCAGACGCGTGCGATCTACCACGGGCCGATCGAGGAGCGTCGGTGGGCGTGAGTTTCTGAGCAACGCTTGCTAACAGAGCTGAGCCAAGCGACTTATCGCAGCAATAAGATCTTGCGGGTAAGTGTTATCGGCAGCTGCCATGAATAAGATAGATGAACATAACAGTCTACACGATGAGCTTCTCAATTCATTTTCTCCGGACACCAGAGATCGCCGTTAAATTTTGAGACGTTCTATTTTTGCAACAGACGTAATTTCTGCCTGTGCATAGAATCTTATGTCATTCCTTGCCTGCCTTCCCTCCCCCGCCTTCTCCACAGAAACGCACGGCGTTTCAAGAACTGCAAATCAAGGGGCAAAAGCATTCGCTAAGTGACTATTCCGCATCCGTCATTAGCTAAGGGGCGTTATCTATCAATTTACACAGTTTGTAATCCGAAGAGTCGCTCTGCTCCAACTGATAGCTCATATCTTATGCGTTTTACTCCGCCGTGCTCATGCCTAAGCGCACCATCGCAACATATTAAAAAACACATACACCGAAACAATTCATATGCTGGCGGTTTTTCCGACCTCGAACAGCGAGATCAGCCCAGCATATTTTGGGATGTGAGGAGGTCGAAATGACACCCGCGTAAAATTCACCCAAAATTCACCTTATGAATTCGGTGATATGCCCAATAGGGCTGTACCAGATGATCTAGAACGAGCTGTACCAGATAAGGCAGTAATGCACGCTCTGCGCGCGGTTTGTTGGCATAATTTTATGTGAGACAAGCGGAGGCCTCACTGGGAATGACTGGTGTTAGCTTCTTGTGCTTCTTGTGTCCCAATGCAGTCCTCCAACCGAGCGCGGCCCGGGCTTGAAGCCGCCGAGAAGTTAACGTGCCGTGATCCGCCGAGTACCCGCGCGGTACGCCGTGGTCCGTCGAGTGCCCGCGCGGTACGCCGTGATCCGCCGAGTACGTGCGCAGTACGCCGTGATCCGCCGAGTACGTGCGCGGTACACCGTGATCCGCCGAGTACGTGCGCGGTACGCGGTGATCCGCCGAGTACCTCCGTAATTGTGTTTCTACCTAGATACATTATGATGGATCTAGAGCGGCATAATTCACCGTACATCTGGTTGTTGTGGCGGATCTCAACCGCGAGTTCGTCAGACTTGAATACAGCTTCTCGTCGTGACAATTTGAAGTCGTATGTGCCAACACACAAGCTCACGTCTCAACGCTAACCGCAATAAAACCCATTCAGGCCGGAACCAGGCCCCATAACCACTGATTGCTTGTTGATGCGGTGGGGGGCACTGCAGCCGGTACCCACGCCGTGCAGCCACGAGTCCTGATGTTTACGCTCGACGTGACTAACAAGGCCCTTAGGCTGCCGGTTCTCCGGTACTGTTCAGTGGTGAAAACACAACGATTAGCGTTGACAATCTCTGCACAGCTTACAAACCCTGACGATATCTCCAAAAAACAAGATCAATATTTTTGTCCATCAATGGCACTAAGCACCACGTAACCGCCTCTCCATCGTCTCTCGGTGGTGTGCACACACCTCACAAACAGGAGTGGCCG